GACAAAAATATGTTCTAATTTTAACTTTCGGTTTCACCGGAAGTGGTAATTACTTTTGATTTTCAAATGGAACACCCTGTATATCATTTCATTTCCGAATTCTACATCTTTTTTTGAATCCAATGATACCACATAAGTGACTTCAATTTTGATTTTAATTGTATTTTTGATATTCCATCTGAGTGTGCCATGACTATTCTTTTTGAGTCTGATGTACTCCTATCGTCAGGTTTAATGCTAAAAATAATTGAATCCTGTCAAAAATGTCAAATCTCTTGATTCATCACCAAATTAAGTTTATCAAAATAGTTTGGTGTACCATGAGTCTGTTACACCCGGTATAATTGTAATAAGATAAAATGAGATAAAACAGTTCGTTACATATGAAAGTATATCACAAATAGTTGGGAAATTTGACATCACATACAATAGACAAATAGTTTGAAGTTTAGTTTCGACGTGGAAAAAGTCATAGATATTCATCAAAAACTTTCTTCAATTAGAATGTTTGACCCGATTCTTGAATGCCAGTAAACTCAAAGATTGGCCTCTGAGTTCGTCTGGAAGGACATTGGAAAATTTCATGGCGAGATATGTGAATGAAGATTTGTTTTTTGAAATTCTTGGTAATCTTATATTCATTATTCCTCTTGTATTATATTCATGTATATCTTCATTTCTAGTTATTCCAGACCGAGTATCAGACATTTCTTATTTTATGTGAATGAGACACTCATATATGAAGCATGAGGCTAGGGTTGAAATGTTGAAATATTGAATCGTTTGAAAAATGCCTTGCGATGTTCTGTATAGCTTATACTCCTGCCTTCATCCTTAGAATTTTTTTTGGGAAAAGAAAATTCATGTACAATGAGTTGGTGCACCCCACACTATCCAGACATATGTCATTACTGAATGAAGTATTGGGAAATGAGACACCCTGAGATATTCATCAGTTAGTCTACCTTTCAGCTGCCTCAATGCATAGGTTGATGTAGCTAGACGCTTACATAATTGATCAATGTGGAGCAAAAAATTCAGACCTGCATCTAGATGTACCCCAAGCAATTTGACTACGTTTCCGTCTGACCCATTGTTCGACTTGAAATTCAGAGCATGAGTCTTTCCATTATTCAGAGTAAGAAAATTATCCTCATTCCAAATTTGAATCACTTGTTCAGTGTTGGACATTTTGTCATTGTGGATTTTTTCATTTCGGTCACAGTGGATTATAGACACGTCATCAGCATACTCGATAGGATGACTACTTTCACTAACATGAACTAAGTTGAGCATGAGATCATTGACATAGATAATGAAAAGTACGAGCCTTAAAACTGATCCCTGAGGTACTCCGTCCTCTGTTATTACAAAGTTAGATACACCGTCTTGCCATTTGACTCCAGCTTTTCTATCCGTGAGATAAGACATGAATTAGTTGAACTGATTGCCTCTTACCACATAATGCTCCAGTTTTTTTATCAAGATATTGTGATTAACAGTGTGGAGGGCGCGAGAAAGATTGTAAAATTTTGCAGTACAGTGTGTTTGAGTTTCAAAAGCTTCTGATACTTCTTCCAAAATCCAAATCATCCAGAATCAATTCTCAGAAGCTCTTGGCATGTGCGAGTTGAAGTGCGACTTGAAGTGCGAGTTGAAGTGACAGTAGACAGTTCATACAAGTGGAAATCAAATCACTGTCATTAGGGGAGGTTTCAGGGTCGTCTGGAACAAAAGCAAAATTTCGAAACCCTATAGAGTGTTCAATATTTCCAGTGCTGAAGCCTTTGAGAACGGTTAAAAGTGAAGAAAAAAATAGTAGGAAACCCATTGGAACCGAAAGAAAATATAACAAAGATAAGAGGGAAAATAAATTACGGGCAATCTAAGGTCGGTAAAGGGTGAATTTTCAAGAAAAAAAAAAAGGTTCATCTCGATTTTCAGTAAAACTAAGAGCCCTATGGAAAAAAGTTCAATGGCAAAGTTGTAGGTAATAAAAATATAACTGACTTTTATATCCACACTTTTTTCATATAACCTCAAAATTTATGTGAACAACTAATAAGCTAATTATTGTTTTTCTTTTTTATATTTCACAACAAAAAAGATTGTTTCACGAAATAAGGTGAAAACTCATCTTTTTATTTCTCAAATACACTGTATTTTTTTTTATTTGAAATAATCATTTTGACTCAATATAAAAAAAGCACCCTAATTTTCAATCGAAAATTCTCGCGTTAAAATAAGTGCTTTTTCAAAAAAACAAAACATTGAAATCTCTTCTTTCCAATGGTGTGGAAAAATATATACATCATACTGTGGTAAATGTTCTCAGAAAATGCAAAGAAACGAAAAAGCAGCAGTCACATTTTTCAGATGAAATCCCCTTCATTATTCAGAACAAACATCCTCGCATGTTCTTTGAAATATTAATGGACATGTGTTATCCGGACTGAATTATCTTTTATACATTCCAGTTTACTGTTTTTGGGATGGAAGTAAGACGGCAAACTCGCGTCACGGGTGCCGCGTATCGCATAAAATCTGCATAATCATAACATAAGTGTATCACTTCCGACGTGTGGTCCTTCGCATACCATTTTTTCATTGGTACAGCGAGATCATAAATACTAGGATTATCATTTCAGCCTAACAAGACTACCAAGTCTGATTGAAAATGTCCTATACTGTAGAAAATTCCTTTAAGTGACTGCATATGTAGTTGTGAGTGAATTTACAATTTAAATTTTCGACTGAATTCTCAACTCGAACTAGATGCTCCATCAAGTTTTTCTATCAATGAAAATGTTTAATTTGATTGAATCGGCTCATGAATTACCATTTTACACAGTCAAGTAGGGCGATATATCAACTCAATCGGGCGTGGACCGAAATTGACACATTATTGCGTGCACCTTGAGTGAAATTTCAGTCAATTTTTTTTTCAGTGTATTTGTGGCAACATCGAACGCCAGATTTTACTTCACATCAAGCTCGTCACTCGTCAGCACAGACTCCAAGAGCCGCCGAAAGCAGAGGAAGATGAGGAATATCGGGTAAAGGTAAATGTCCACTGGTCCGTCATCCGACGATACGATTGTACGAACGTAATGTGATTGGTGGAAATATTATAGCGGGAAACATTTGTTCCGTTGTCGGAGAAAAGTTGAAATTATTTTAACTTTGGTCCGTCATCTAAATATTTGACAATTTGTTTACAAATAATTCAAGAATGTCTAGTGATAAACTACTAAAAGTGAACAATTTGTTGATTATTTCGATTATTCTGCTGAAAAGAAAGAAAAGAAAGAGAAATCCACCAAGATATTGGGTGAAAGATATTTTTAAAAAAAGGACGACTCAAGGAATGTTCAATAATTTGGTACAAGAAATGCGATTGTCTGATAGTGATCAGTACTTCAACTTTTTGAGAATGAGCAGTCGCACATTCAATAAACTATTACATATTGTTGGACCAACGCTCACAAAAATTTACCATGTACGAGAACCCATCTCTCCAGCTGAGAGACTTGCTTTAACTGTAAGGTACAAAGGTTTTTTCAATAATTTATTATAGGATGATTATATAGGTACCTACATAATATACAGGGTATATCTTCATAATTTTTCTCTCTATATACTTTGTTTGAAGGTACCTTGCAAGCGGAGATAGTCAAATTTCAATATCATATGCTTTTCGTATTGGAACTAGCACTGTGTCTAAAATAATTAAGGAAACTTGTAATGTCTTATGGGACTGTTTGAATGATAAGGTTCTATTAAATCCCTCCGAACAAGCATGGTTGGAAATAGCTAATGGTTTTTCAGAAAAATGGAATCTCCCAAATTGTGTAGGTGCTATTGATGGGAAACATGTGGTAATTGAGGTAATGTAATATCAGAAAGTAGAATCAACTTTGCTCTCTAGTAAAACGTGACAGTTTATCAGTATTATAGAAATTAGTGATCAGAATAGTCAACGAAATGGCAATGTTGGTTTATTTGTCTTTGCACCATCCTAATTATATATCAATTTCATTCTAGGCCCCTCCAAAGTCAGGATCAACATATTTCAATTACAAAGGTCAGCATAGTATAGTTCTCTTAGCACTGTGTGATGCTAGCTATAGATTCACCTTAGTTGATATAGGAGCAGAAGGACGTCACAGTGATGGTGGTATATTCAGAAACAGTGATATGGGAAAGTTAATTTTGAATGGTAATATTGGCTTTCCACCTCCTTTGCACATTGAATATGAAGGTGATCCACTCAATTACTATATTGTTGCTGACGAGGCATTTCCTTTAACTCCTCACATAATGCGTCCTTATCCAGGTCGTTTCTTGCCTCAAAGTAAAAGGATTTTTAATTACAGGTATTTTTTTTAAGTAACTGCTAGTACACCAAGTTTGAGTTATTTTAGTAGAAAAATAATATTTTTAGGCTGAGCAGAGGACGTAGAATAATTGAGAACGTTTTTGGAATAATGTCAGCAAAATGGAGAATTTATAGGAAACGAATTGTAGCAAGTGTAGAAACTGTGTGTAGTATAGTCAAGGCCACAGTATGTTTGCATAACTTACTTATGAATCTTGAATCAGAAGCTACTGCTGAGAATAGATATTGCCCTAATTCCCTGATCGATAGAGAAGACAGTAATGGTAATATTATCAATGGTGAATGGAGGAAAGATAGTGCACAAAATTTCCTACAAGTCAATCGAGTTGGGAGCAATATGTATGGAAAAAATACTGAAAGAATGAGAAATCAATTAGCTTCTCACTTTTTATTTGAAGGTGCAGTTCCTTTTCAATGGGATAAAGTTTAACTTTCATAGGCATGTATCTTCATTCTTTGAATAAATATTTTAATTTTTATGGCTTTTCATAACATATTTTCACTGTTGAAAGGATTTCTCTAGAAAAAATCAACATTTAAATAACAGAAAAAGGTGCTTGAATATATTTATTTTCCCAAGAAAAAATAACAAATATAATTATTATAGAAAATCTTTCGCCCCATCAAATGCTTTCTGTAAAAGCAGAATTTCTAATGTTTTTCTTTCTCTAAATGGCATTTTTGATAAAATCTCTGAAATTGTAATACATACTGGGTTGATATTTGGTGAGGAAGATTGTGGTGGTGGTAGAGGTGGTACTGGAACTGGAGCATTGACTCTGTTTAGTGCCTCCACTATTGCCAAATCAATATTCTTTGAATCTTTTCTGTTAAGTCTAGCACCATTTTTTGTTGTATCAGAAGATCTAGTGGAGTTACTGTTGGAGGCACTATTAACATTGTTAGAACCATCAGCTGCTTCAATTTGTGTATCATTTTCATTGCAGCTTACATTTGATTTTAAGTTACTGACTGTTCTGGAATTGAAAAAAAACAAATGCACATAAATAATTATAAGTACCTACCTATAATGACTGCATTTTATGATTATATTATTCCTTATTTGTACTTACGGCCGATATTTAATGGTGTCACTCAGAAATGACATGAGATCATAATATTCCCACTTTCTCTTTTTCTTTTTACCTGCCGCACTGCCACTGGGTACATAGCTTTCTGTTTCTCCTTTTACACGTACATAAGTATCTCTGAGATTCCTCCACTTTTTTATAAGTACTGATACTGACAAATGTTCTTGTTCTGGAATATTACATGTTAATGACATGTAGCAAAAATTACAGTAGCTTTTGTACCCCCAAAAGCTTCATAAACTTCGAGCCAAAGATTATCCCTAATTGTTTTGCTCCTATCCTTCAAAGGTAACCGCGAGTCCCATAATGGGGGCCTGGCCATGACTAAATTAATTAAGAATTCTTCCACTGAGATTTCTTCTGTTTCCTCATGCTGCAAACTTTCCTCATGCTGCAAATGAAACGTTATGAGTCTTCATGAGAATGATGAATTTTATTGCTTACCTGCAAGTCCTGAGCATCCTGAGATTGTTCGTCTCCATACTCTTCATTGTCCAAATAATAATCATCCATTTCATCATCCATTTCATCATCCACGATTTAAGAATTCATTCAAGTAATAATTTTTGATTTGATTCCAAACAGTAACGTAATACCACCGAAAATCGAATCAGTTTTGGTTTCGTTTAGTTAGAGATAAGTTAGGTTAGCCGGTTGAGTTGAGATTGATCTGAGAGTTGAGATCAGTTGAGATGTCAGTAGATGACACTTGACATAAAAGTTACTAAAATTTTACTATTTTTGTCACTAGATCGTACGACGGGAGTTTTGAGATTTCGGATAAGTGGAAATTGTTAATTTTGTCCATCTGAAAGATTTATCACGATATGCGAATCGGACATCGGATGACGGACCAGTGGACATTTACCTTAACGCGCAAGACCGAACGTGCAGAAAGAGAGAGAGAGCAAGAAAGGGCAGACAAGGACGCGCGGTGTACAGAAAGCTGTTCCGTTCGAAAATCGATAGCCACGTAAATAATGCACCGAGGGTCGAGGGCTTTCAGATTTCCCGCCCGCGCGTGCTACTTTGCTTTGCTCTCTTCACTCCACTCTCCACATTGTTTGTGTGTGCGTCATAAGCTAAGTTTCCATATATCATACATCTCAGACTTTCAGTCACAATCATGCGCAAACAAAAATATTTTTTTCTACTCACATAACTAAAATGGCATTACGCGTACGGATATGTACCACACTGAATGATCGATTAATCACGGATTGATGATCTGTGATTTATTCAAATTATTAAACACGTTACCATGGCAACGCGATTTCTTAAACACATTACCATGTCAAAACAGTTCAATAAAAACAGCTTCAGTAATTTGAGACATGTCTGGTCTGTCAATTGTATTAACTGTCAATTGTATTAACTGTCAAATGATATTTTCAAATTTTGTATCACACTTATTATTCATGCAAACATTGCAAACAATATTTCTTTGTCTCAGAATTCTCCATTGAAAATATATGCGAAAGGTAGACGAAAGTGACATCGAAGAGAATGTTCTGGTACTTGCATATCTCCAAGAAGTGTAAAAAAGAAGCATCCATCTTTGAGAACAATTTATTTATTCTGCGCTAAACATGACAATAAACGTGAAACAAAGGTTAGTAAGCAATGGACTGGTTGCATGCAGTTGCATGTATTATGTTCTCGATTCCCATTCCTTTCGAATTATTTTGTAGGTTAGCAGGAATAGCAGGTATGTTAATGTAATTTTCGGAGTTCGTAGAAAAAGCATAGTAAGTAACGCGTTTATAAACTCTTCTACACACTCGTCTATTAAACACTCGTTACTAAAAGGACGTTAACACTTGTTACATAATATAAAATATACTATTTCCTACGACTGCTACTGTAAGTGATGATTATTGTATACACACAACAATGGCAGCAAGCTTCTACTTACATACTTGTGCGGTTTTTATAGGTATGTTTGATAGATGACTTTGTTTTGTTGCTTAGGCGATGTGTCAATAACAATTAACAATTTCAGTTAATGTCAGTAGCCAGGTGGGGTAGGTGTAGGTACTTATATTTTTATCAATCAATCCAGCTATCCACCGAAACCGAAAGCAGGTAAGTTATATTATATAGGTATAAGTGGTGCCTGTAGAAAACAGGAATTGCGAAATATTAAATTATTGCTCTTCTTTCTGAACTATAAAAACAAAAAATGCACTAAGCAGTGTGTCGATATTAATAAATTTGGTAGTGTACCTGAAAATATTGCCAAGTATCTGGGATTGTCAGATGCAAAGCAATACAGGTGATCGTCAGTCACCATTCTTGTGGATGCTGGTGGTGACTTACTAGCACTGAAAAGACATGGTGGATGGCGTTCATCAGCTGTGGCTGAAAGCTATGTTGATCAATCACTATACAAACGAAAACTGACACTGCTTCAAAAATCACTTGTGCAATAAATAATGAATCAAATAAGTCTTCCTCTTCCAACGTCGATATAGTGAGGGATAATAATATAAATCTGGAAAACAATATTGTATCAACCAATACATATGCTACAACTACACACTATAATAACACAGGAAAAGAGGTTTCTGATCCTTCATATACTTTCAAGAACTGCACTGTTACAATAAACATCCATTATGAATCTTAATTTAATATTTTTATATAATGTGTTTTTTGCTATTAATAAAGTTGATTAGATATGAAAAACGGCTCTATTTCAATTGAGGAAAATGTGTCGGTATGGAATGTTTCAATAAACAAACACAAGAATTGTGATTTGAAACTTTTCATGCATCTGGCTCAGTGACGGGAGACGTGTATGTATAGATATTCGTTATACAATATCTGCACTATCCGGAAGAAAATATAGTGTAGTCGTAGAAAAAGTATAGTACGATTCTCGAGTTGTAAAGCAATTACACACTTGTGGTTTGCTATGCGGCTTCGTGTGTAACTCTCTCCACTTCGTGCGTAATATGCGTTTAACAACTCTTGTTATGTAATATACTATTATATACGTATTTAAATGTCATTGTGATCTAACCACCACTGAGCCTTTTTATAGGATAGGCAAATGTCACCTTAAGGGAGAACTCAGGAAATGGAAAGAAATTGAAAAATGCTCCTACTGGAGAGCAACTCCAGGTCAACGGTTCATCAACCATTCGCAGAACCGAGCCAAACAGCTAATAAGTCTCAGCGAACCAGAGCTAAATCTTATAACAGGCTTTCTCACAGGACAGTGCCCTCTGAGGTACCACCTCAAATAGATGGGCCTGGCGGAGACTGACACTTGCCGCTTTTGCAAAAATGCGACCGAAACCGCGGGTGGTTCAAGATTCAGACTTTTGATCACCCTGTATTTGTTTCAAATAAATGTCAGTAGATAGTAAATCAAAAGTTGAGATAGGGACATGGAAGCCGTTTTGACCAATAATGAATAGTTTCGACTCAAAAAAATCCTAAAGTTGTAAAATCTCGATTTTGAACAACCTATATCTCTGTAATCATTCCTGCTAGACCCCAAGTGAGATACATTGATGAAATCAGCTTTTCAGGGAGAATCTAAAAATGCAATAAAATACAGGGTGTTCCATTTGAAATAACAAAGTTGTTGCTTCTTTTCGTTAGAAGCGGCAACGCCGCGAGGCTGAAAATATTTTAGAACCATGTCCCCCTCGAAAATAAAATCGACCTGTCTTTTCGTTTTTCCATATTATCGACTTGGAGGGAGATATTGAGGGTGGGAAGTTTTCAAATTGACACCCTGTATAATATGTATACGATTAATGATTTCTATGTAACGAGCCACCTAGCGAGCTACTCTGCAAAATATGCAAAACATTTCCGAAATGATGATTTTACTCTTTTCTCTATAGGTTTTTGGGGTTCAACATTCAAGCACAGTGACATCCTGGGGAAAGAGACGAGGACAGCAAAGCGCAAAAATCTAAAAAAATTGATATTCCACCTACTAGATTGAGCTACAGACATCAGTATTTGTTGATTATAATATTGTGTATCTGTTTTCTTTTATATTACACATGTTTTCATTTTTGTTATGTCAAAATAGGATGACCAAGTTTTGATAATAAATCTTATATAATAAAGCCTTCTGATTACCAAGATTTTATTTTATTCCTATTATGTTGAGACCATCAATACTCTGATAGTAAGATATATTTTGATTTCCTTCAAAATGATACTCTCTTGGCACAAGGAAATAAGGATCTTCTGGAATAATATCAACCCATTATAATGAGACATCATCACTTCGTAACGAACTCGAAATTTCTTGATTCAAGAACAAAATTGATCAACTATGATGATAGATTAACTTGAAAATTGAATAATTTTCTAGTTTCAAACTGATTAATTATTTCTTCGACCAAAACGTACTGTGATAATAAAAAAATATTTCCTCGAATCAAGATTTTCTTCCATGAATAAATAAAGAGAGTTCTGTCGGAAAATCAAACAAATATTTGGTTGGACCTAGTCAAGACCGCCATATGTTTGAATCAATGCTGTTCCGCATTCAAGAAATCCTTTTTATCTGGGTGTATACGTATATAGGACCACAATTCGGAAGTGATTACTTATATATGATATTCATTTTTGTTATGATTATGCATCACGTCTTATGGTACGCGGCACCCGTGATACGACTTTGCCGTCTGACTTCCATCCTATAAAATGCCCTACTGGCACCGACCATCTGTCTCTACGGCAATACAATGGGATAACAATACTCAACTTGAATGTTTTGGATTATCTTGTGTAGTCTATGGTTTTGTATCCTTCCTTGAATAAAACAAATTCATTCATACAACTCCATCATCTAGATTGACGCATTAGATATCATATTTTCTGCATATCATGGTCATGAGGTTTCTCGAGTTGGCCAAACCTTTTAGTACGAATATAATATAGGAGGTGGTATTTCATCCGTCACTGATGACGTTGCATTTGTGGGGCATGAAAACGTCGATGGCCCATAAAAATAGAAGGATAGATATACGCGAGAACTTCAGTGAATGTTTTTTCGTCGAGATCACGATCGTAAAGTAACGCCTCGATAGCTTTTAGGGGCGGATGGAATAAGGGGGAGACTCGACGGACATAAAAATAATAAGACATCTTGATATCCAAGATCCAAGAATTCCAAGTTATTACATTATATTTGTAATATCGTTATCTTCAGTGGTTAACGTCACTCGCAGCCGGTTTCGTCTTTTGAAAATCCAATTTAAGTGGACCCTGAGTCCTGACCTATACAAGGTGTCCCAGCAGAACAAAGTGCCATTAATTCTACAGAGTGAACTCGAGAAGAAAATAGGCCTATTGGAGCCAACTTACCTCTATATGAAAATGTACCGTTGAGCAAGAACAATTTCATTTCCAGATTTTCTTCAATATTTTAAAATTCTTGAAATGTACTGCTCGGAAATTCGTAGGGAAATTTACTATAGTGAATGTGCATGAAATGTCGTACCATTTCAATCAATCAATCAATCAATCAATCAATCAATCAATCAATCAAT